ACCGGTATAAGGATGCTACTTTCCAATTTTGTCTCCAAATACCCTAATATATTTTCTCAAAATAAAAAATATAATGAAGAATAACTTACGGAGATTTTTCTAATGCTTGAAATTATAAAGCTAAAACTACTAAAGTTAATTTTAATTGCGATTAAAAATTCATCTGCATTATGATTTTCCGACTTTAATTCTGGCATAACAATATGCCAATTAAATTTGTTGTGATTACCCGAGGTTAGCACGATGTTTACAATTTTGGTGATATATATAATTCCTCGTTTTTTACTTTAAAAATTTTGAGCAAAAATGATAACGGATTCATTCATTTGTTTCATTACAATAGTATAACAAAAAAAAAAAAGCAGTTTCTTAGTTCGAAACTCTCCAAACTTAAAATATATAGACATAAAAGCGATACTTTTCATAAACTATGAACATTGCAACTGATATCTCAATGACTTTATGTATTGCATAGAGCCACGCATACATTTTCTTGGGTTACTTTTAGATTCAAGTCCTGGGTTGGGCTCTATCTCTAATGTTTGCCCAAGCTCTCCCACAGGAGTTTTCTTTTTTTCTTTTTTTTTTTTTCGTAGAGCTATCCACAAGACACAATATTTCTTGATTTAAAATAGAGCAAGGAAATAGGCAGGTTCAACTAATATGAACTTAAGCCTATAAATTTAATTATCCCAAAATTGAATGTTTTTGAAACCTGGCTATTATTTAATGGGCTGAGGACAAGGCTTGCAAGGCCTCTTTTTTTTTCACTTAATTTTTTTAAATATTTGCTAAAAATTTAATTTTTACATTAAAATATTACGCATTTTTTAATGCAAATTATAGTATTTAAAAATTTTAAAAATAATATAAATCTGAATTTCAAAGATAAATTCATAGGAAACAAAAAAAGGGTGCCCTAGGCTCTTTTTATAGATTTTAAAAAGGCTGAACTTAAAAGGTTGATTACACTAAAATTTTTTAATTTTTTAAGCTTGAATTCTTAAAAAAGGCTTATATGGGTTGCTCATCAAATATGGCCTGTATTTTTAACTCTAATTCAAGAGAATTGATTCTCTAACCCTTTAAACTAACCATAGATAGTTGTAGCCACATCTATTGATAAAAACTAATGTCACTATTAATCAATTGTATTCAAACTCATAACTAGATAGAGAGAGATAGGAGGGGGGAGAGAGAGGAGGGATAGACAGAGAGAGAGAGAGAGATGGGTCCGATGTGGGGCCTAAGAAGGAAAGCACTGAAAAAGCACAAATTGAGCAAGTGAGGGTGGGAGGGCCCATAAGGGCCACAAACAACAACTTACAATAGTGAAAAGGAAAGGGAGAGAACTACGTAACAGGAGAGCACATTTCTCTCACGTCCACTTCTAAAAGCTTTTCATTTTTTTTTTATATTTTATATTTTATCCTTTTATAATGCTTCAGTTTTTTCCATTTCTTTCTATATATGATGTAAGACTGAAATGGATAACAGGATAAGCTTTTGTCCATGGACTTTACTTTGTGTGTGATAACTCTCTCTTCGTTATCATCTCAACGGACCACAACGAGCTGAAAATAACCCCTCGAACCCCAATAATTTGCATGCCAACGCGAGCGAGCGAGCGAGCGAGAGAGAGAGAGAGAGAGAGACTTTTTGCAGCAAAATTGAAAGATAAGAATTAGCATCAACCATCAGTCTTAAAGCCAAACAGGAATACGAACAGTATGTTTTGTGGTCATATATTGAGTTTTTGGGGAAAAAGTTGAAAGAAAGAGATGAAGAAATGATCATGAAAAGCATCAATAGATTTCGTTACTGTTTTCTTTTCTGGCCACGTTTATCTTTAATGCTGAGTCGGTTTGCTAATATGAATTTTCTCACTATCACCAAAGCAATCATGACTCCCTCGGGTCCTTCAAATAGGGTCTTTTTAAATTGGTCTAAAAATATAACTTCCCTTCGAAAATATAAAAGCAATCGACATAGTATTAAATATGATAAATATGGAAAGAATGTATAATTTTAAATGTAATTGATTAATTTATTTGGAGTGTAATTTGATTATAGTAGTTTTGGAAGTACATTGTCATTTTTGAAAAATTAATATTGTTACCTAATTTTAACTTCCTCACCTTAATTAACATCATTGAATTAATAAAGTCCAATATTAAAGACTGGAAAAATATATAAAAGTAATAGAGCTAACATTATCTTACAAGTAAGATTTATATACTTAACTTTATATATTTTAATACTTTTATTCAATCAAATCAAAACAAGTGTATTTTAATATATTAATAATATTAATAATAGGAGTTTGCTATATAATAAATAATATTTAAAATAATCACATGTTTTGATTTAATTGAAAACAAGCATCTTAAAAAATAATTATATAAACTTTTTTTTATTGAAACAATCATGTTTGAAGCAAAATTGGGCACTACATATAGATATCTCTTTCAACAAAACAGATTTAGATTTTGGTTCACTGCATTATACATTATGATAAAGAAATATAATTCTTATTATTATTTATAATCGATAAATAGTGTTAGCTTTTATAAATTTCTATTGACATGCTCATGGGCTGAGTTCCTTAAAATAGGTAGCAAGCCTGTTAAAAGCTTTGCAGAAAATTAGGTTTGAACTGATAGAAAAAAATAAAAAAATAAAAAACAGTTTGAACCCAACTCCCTGTACATTTACTCGTCCCCCCCCCCCCCCCATAAATTGCTTTTGGGCTGCCAGGTTTATACTTAAACAGGCTTTCTAGCCCATGTTCACGTCTAATAAAAAGAAAAGTGAGCCTGACCTACAATCAGTTGTGTCAAACATACGACTTCTTATTATTTTTGTTTTTCAAACGAAGATAAAAAAGAAGCACCGCAGGAAAAAAAAAAAAATACACCGAAAGAATATTACAAATTCAGAAATTACACAAATTTCAAAGTGAAAAAAAAAGCATATGTAATGTAATGTAATGTCCTTGTTTGGTTGGCACAAGCTTTTAGGAAAGCTTTCTAAATCTAAGAAATTGAGTTGTGATTATCGAAAGTTCATTTTTATAAATTGAAAAAGATCAGATAGTTAGCTTGGGTTCTCATCATTTCCAACAAAGCTTTAACAAATTAAAACTATGCTTTCCTACTAAGAAAAACAAACAGATGTATCGATCTTCTTGCTCACCAAAGCATCCAACGATAATTTTTGAGTTAACAATCTTTCATGAACCACCTTTTAGGTGTAAAAATATTAAGTATTTTGATATGACTAGATAGTTATTTTTTCTTGCACAGGTTTTTTGTGGCCATGTATTAAAAAAAAACTGTGCTTTCCACTTTTCTCAATTATTAGGATCTATAAATCCTAGCATCCACAATATAGTACTATTTTGTAGGGCCACACAACAGGTAGACCAAGTCAGACTAGTACTTAATTTGAAGTTTGGTATGTTTCATGGATTTGTTAGCTAAGTTAAGTAGCTTATGGTCTGGTTTGATTCATAAAGAACCTAAGGTTGGGTTGGACTATAGTTGGTTCTTTGGATTGTGGGATTGGTCTAGGGTTTCCAATAATCCTTCATGTATAGTTGAGGACCATAAGGATCCTTAACTCTTTAATTTATGACATATGAGCTCATTATTTGGCTAGGCTTTTGTTCGAGGGTATCAATTTGTGGGTTGCAGATCACATGCTCAAGGTTCCGAAGTCCTCTCCTTGTGCAGCTTTAAGTCTTGTCATTTGCTCAGGTATGTTTTGTTTGAATTTTTGAATTGGAAAAACACTACTTTTGGTCTCTGCATTTTGTTCAAGTTTTGGTATAGGTCCTTGCATTTTTTTTATTATTCTAGATTCGTACACTTTTCTCCATTTGTAACATTGGTCCCTATATTTTCAGAGGGATATTGACATGGCACAAACGGTGTTAATAATGTTGACATGTCAATTAACACTGTTAATTTTGTGCTTACATGTCAAACTAATGTTGGCATGAATTTTTTAATGAGCAAAAATTTAAAAAAAAAGCCTATATCAGATGAAATAAAAAGGCTAACTTGGAGTCTTTAAATTTTTTTAATTAAAAAAAATCCATGTTAGCATCTCTATTTCATTTAATGAAGAATTTTTTTAATTATTTTTGCTTATTAAAATATCCATGTGAGCATCAGCTTAACATGTAAGCATAAAACTAATAGTGTTAATTGTAATGCTCTTTACTGACATTACCATACGCTCCACTATAATCAATATTAATCAATTCAAAATCATTAAATTTGAAAACTTTCAAAACTTTGAGATCCCAAAATATAATATTTCCAAAATCATATAGTAATATATTCGAGTTGTAAATTATTGCACAGCGGAAGCATCTCTAAATCCATAAGAAAAACATGTGCATTTCAGCAAAATGAAGTTAAATTTGGCACCATGTATTGCAGCTTGTGCCACATCTGTTGTGGTATGTGGCATAGAGACCACTGTTGTTTCCTTTGTGCGGTGCACGGCGACACATGTACCCTTATGCTGCATCACACATATACAAATCTGCTGTCATTTTGCAGGTTTCTAATGCAAAGTTCAGATGTGTGCCATTTTCACATTTGATGTTCAATTGGGGTGGTTCAAGCGCTTACACAAAACTTATTTTGAAATTTAACCAATGACACTAGTTTTATTTCAATCTGATATTTCTATCAAAAATTAAACACCCAAATGCATTTTGGTTGTTTTATGCCAAAATTTTGCCACTCAAGCGTTTTAATTTGAAACTAAATATCATTAGCCACTTTTTAGGTCTTAATCACATCCAAATGGACAATACACACCTAATTGACCATACACATTCATAATATAACACACATATACATATTTTGCTTGTAAACCACCCATTTTATACTTTTTGGCCAAAATCACATTTTCCTTTTCAATCTCATACAAGGCCAAATCACTACACATATGCTTCTAACATCCCATATTCACACATATACACATTCATCTACTAGCCCATTCTATCATTTGACTATACACACATATACAAAGGGTTAGGGAGTTCAAAATCACCAAAACACCATATTCAACACATTATACACATATTTTGATTCCTAAGGAAACTTATACATATTCATAATTAATAATTTACAAAGGCATTACACCAATTCTTATAAAGCTTAGGCGAGAAATATCAACTCAGCCTATGTCTTTCCCCTTTGAACTACTAATGCCAAAACCTGAAAAATATAAATAACCACGAGTGAGATAAAAATCTCAATAACCAATATAGTTTATTTAATTCTTATTACCACAAAATAACCATGCTAAAGTAATAAAAACCATAATGTAGCATTTATATCTAGTATATTATACTAAGATCACCATTTTTACATATAAATCATTTTTCAAACACTTTTACACCCTAGCATGTTCATCTATCCATCGATCCTCTAAAGCTCCCCAATATGAAACAATAGGCTCTTTTGGATCAACCACTTATTGACCCGAGCACACTTTTGGTGGTAGAAATACCTAGTCAAAGGTAATCTAACCTACCTATATACTATGGTTTTCCTCTTCACACACTTGTGATAGAGATGTCATTGACTTCTAACCATACCCTAACAGGCACTAGAGAGTTGCTAGACTACTTGAATGTCTCATGATAATAGTCCTATAGTATGCTGTATCAGATTACCTATGATAACAACCCGTATAATGCTATACTGGATGTCCCATGGTGCCAGCCCGACCGTATGGATTTTTCACTCACTTCTCCACACACACCCTCCCACATATCTTGGGTGAACTTCCAACCCCTACGATCATGCTCTTTTCACAATTTCCATTGCTCATTCACATTTTCAGAGCATATAATGTCATATCATGTGTGTGTATATATATCAATTGAAATCAATAACCTTTCAAATCATTCCACAAACCAATGTTTATGCTAAAACCATTTTTAATACCAAATCATGCATAAAAAACTCATAAAACAACAATTTCTCATTTTGTATTTACTTCTACATAGTTACAATAGTTAATAAATATAATAAACTATATAGTTACCTCAACCCTTCTGTCTGATAGAAAGGTTTGCCTATGTAATTTCCTTATTTGAATCTCTTTTCGCATACTTGCACATCACACACTAGAATCTACACAAAAGTGCCATTCAAAGTCAATTTCACTATTAACAGAAGTGCCAATTATCGCAATTAAACACCTCATTGCTATCATTTCCATAACTCACACTCGTTTACACACATTACCATTGATTTAACTCTTCCACTCGTATCTGTTCATACAACATCCCAATAAGTCAAAATAACACTTCACTATCTAGAGCTCTAATCCCACATTAAATCATCAATTCAACCCATAATCAGTGATTGATGCAGGATTAGAAATTTAAGATGTTACATTAATTGACACGTCAGCATTATTAACATCATTTCTACTACATCAATGTTCCTTTAAAAATGAAGGGACTAAAGTTGTAGATAAAAAAAAGTGTAGGGACCTGAAACACAAAAAAAGTGTAGGAATCTATATCAAAATCTAAATAAAGTGCAATGACTAAAAGTGGTTTTCTTTTCCTTTTGAATTTTTGTCAATATGCCTAACTTGTTATAAATTTCTACTAATATGCTCATTGGTTGAGTTCCTTGAGAAAGACTAAGCTTGTTAAAAAATTTGCAGAAAATTATGATTAAACTTATACCCACAAAAAAAGAACATAATAATAGTTTGGACCTAACTTCTTGCATACTTACCTTTGTTTAATTATAACAATCTGATTTGTTAGAAATGATCTTTGGTATTTTAGTATTTGATAAATGATTATTTTATAATTAAATAGGTATAAAATTTGGTTTATATTTGATTATATTTATTAAGATTTCATATTTATTTAATTAATATCTATATATTTCTCCCTAATCACTTAATTATAATACAAAATCTACTCATTTTTGTATTTTGTAGAGAAAAAGAATAAACTAAATAGAAGAAAAGAAAGAAAAAAGAAATATATATATATAAGAGGAAGGAAGTGATTGGAATCTTATATACATGTATGTATGTATGTATGTATGTATGTATATTTGTACGTACAAATTGATGAAGATATTTGGTGGAGGATCCACATGATATTCAAAGAAAGAAAGAGAGACACGTATGTGATATATATAGATATATTAGAGTCCCACATTGATTATGAATTAGAGGAGGAGCCTCCACTTTAACTATAAATACTCTCATCCATTAAGAGGGAAAGCATCTAATCACTTATTTGAGTCCCTCAATAATTTTCTTTGAGATATTTGGAACTCATAGAAGCATCTAAAGGCTAAAAGTGAGATCGTCCAGAAGTTCTATAAATCATAATTATTTCTTTTCTATTCCTTAATTTTCTTTGTGATCATATTTAATGATTGAGAATTTTAGAATGGTGTTATTTGATTTTATTATGTCTTTATAAATTACCCAGTTGGGTAGGGATGCAGCCCAATTGGGAGGTAGTTTTTTACTTTCTTTGTTTGGACTATTTTCATTTATATTTATGAATATTTTTTTAATGATATTTATTTCTCTTGTTCTTCATATTGATTTTATAATTGGCCACCATTTAATCAAAAATATGGATAATCTTGATGGACTGGGAGGTGAAGAGAGAACCTAGATCTAGAGAAATAAACATAAATAACTAAGCTAGGGATAGTTTTAGAAATTTATGGTGATTTAAATTATAGTTGCACAATTTAATTAGTTGTTTGAGTATCGTAGGAACGAATTCAACACTAATTAAAAAGGGACTAATAATTTGAGAGAATATTAGGATACTTTAAGAATAGCTATCACTATAATTGATTAGAGTTAACTCAAAGGATAGAAACTAGCAACCTATAGGATGAATCCTAAACCCTAACGCTTCAAGTGATTGTGTTTTCATCATAATTGTTTTCTTGATTTATTTTTATTATTTATATTTTCATCAAATTATCCATTTTATCTATTTTTCTTGAACTATTTATTGTTTAAATTAGTAAAAGCGCAACTTTCCTGTGGGTTCGACACCTGAAATACTTCGAGTAATATATTACTATGATCTCATATACTTGTGAGAACGATCAAGTTTTTGGTGTCGTTGTCGGGGAAGTTACGAATTTACTAACTACTTAATTTCTAGTTCATTTTAATTTTTTATTTCTTAATTTTTTTCATTTAATTTTATTTATTTATTTTATGCAATTGATAAGTTCTGGTGACTTAAGTTTGATTCCTATTAATCTAGAAATTGAATGGTTTTGTAAGAAAAACAGATCTTAAAGAAGAAGAAAGATGGATGACGAGGCTATTTTAATGCCACCTATTACATTTAGAGATATTCAATGCCCATTCATCACATCTACTCCATCATGCATCTAGCTGAGTGCTAAACTGTGTAGTTATGAATTTAAAAATATTTAGTTAAATGCACTATCTAATTTCAATGGGCACCAAACTGAAGATGCCTTAGATTTTATATGAGAACACTATTGCTAAATAATCTATCAGATGATGATTTAAAGCTGTGTTGCTTTCCTTACTGTCTAAAGGGAGAAGCTCATCAATGGCTTTTATGATTATCAAAAGCTTCTATAAGCTCTTGGATAGATATGTATGAGAAATTTATATTGAAATATTATTCTCCTTAAAAGACTTCAGAATTAAAGGACAAGATTCACTTCTTCACATAGTAAAATAGTGAATTGTTCCATGAGGCTTAGGAACGTTATAATCTCCTCATAAGCCAATGTCCCTATCACCAATTTCCACACATACTCTTGATGGACTTTTTTTTATGATGGAATGAATGCTAAATGCTAATCAAAAGTTGATAATGTAGCTTGAGGTGATCCAAGTTTATGGACCTTATGGCATGTATCATATGGCGTTAATGACAACGAAGCTTGGGGATGGTAATCATGAGCATGGTGGCACGAAAGGAGCCTAATACTTCCAATCCAACATGTCTAAAGACCCTTTACAATATATTGGAGGTCCAATGATAAGAGCCCAAACTAAAGCCATAAAGCAAGCCTTATTTAGTCTTGTGTAAGAAGTCCAAGAGCTTGGAGAGCATTGGGGCACTCTTCTCAATCTTAAAGGAGAGCATCTATATGTGTATAATGTACTTAAAATCTAAATCCATGAAGAGTCAAGCCCAAAAGATGTAAATCTTAGCCCAATGCAAAAACGATTACAAGTTGAGCCTCTTACAAGTAAGGAGGCATAAAACTCTAGTGAAGAAGTTAAGGGTGGTGTGATTTTAAATCCTTTATAATCCCTTAATTGTCTCCTAAATTGTTTCCTATGATTTGTCTCCTAAAATGAAATTATTCATTTTAGAGTTTATAACTCTTGTAAGCTTTAGTGCTTTGTGGTGGCATCTTATGTGAGAAACAGACGTGATCAAGAGAATGATCAACTCTTGTGGTATCTTCGAAGGTTGAGGTTTCTAGAGGTAGGTGCTCTAGAGGATCTTATCCTTGATTATTATCCCATTGTTTATTTCCTTTTTTTCTTTATTTTCATCATAAATTTCATTCCTTTCTTTTTGTTCTTGTGTTTTTATTGTGTTTTAGGGTTCTATCCCTAAACTAGCATGATTTTGCTTTCACGTCCCCTATCAAATTGGTATCAGAGCTTTGGTTGCTAGTTTGCTAGTTTTGGTTTAAATTCTTGTCCTTTCTTCTTCTTTTTCATCTTGAGTTATTTTTTTTGTGATCATCTCTTATCTACCCCATCTACTTCTATCTTTTAATTTTTTTCTTCTTCATCTTTGTGACTTTTTCATCTTATATGAGCTTTTATTTTATTAACCTTTTAAAAAATTAAAAAAACCTAAAAATTTGTGCAAAAAGGGCAAAAAAAGTGTTAGTGTGTTAAAAAAAATTCAAAAATTAAAAAAAATTAAAAAAATGTATTATTATGTGTTATGACAGTAAAAAAGGCTATTTTTGAACTCCAAGTCACTAAGAGGTTGCCTAAAAAGAAAAGTCAACTTGGGTGGTAATAAAGTCTTCTACTTTGGTCACTTTCTTATTTTTAATTTTTGGTAGCACTTTTCAAATTCTCTACTCTCCTATTTTGCTATTTGTGCTACTCTCCTATTCTATTTAGCTTCCTATTTTTGTCTTTGAGTATTTGACTCTTTGACTTTTATTTCTATTTTTATTTGTCACGTACGGTTTTTCCTTTTGCAAGCTTAATTTTATTTGAAAATTTTGCTTTCCTATTTGTTTCAAAATTTAAAAAAAAAAATACAAATATTCTCTTTTCATCTTGTGCTTGTTTTCTAGTTTCCTTAATTTAGAAGATATTCACTTAGTTATTTCTTAGTTTCTTAATTTGTGTTTAGTTTCACCATTAGATTCTATCCACAAGCTTAGTAAGTGGTAAAAAAAATGTGTTTTTCATCATTAAAAAAAGCCATTACTTTTTTTTTGGTGAAACATAAGTGACTTTATTTTTCTTGAGAGTAAACACGTGAGTTTGTGTGTGTGAGGATCTATTTTTATCTTATATGATTTCTAGTGCTTTTGTGAATATGAGTAACAACGATGAATCCCCTAATGTTGGTATGAACTCTGTTTTAGAACTTATTAAAACACAGTTGTAGCAGCTTCACTTGGAACTTCATTATAGGTTCCATAAGGGTCTATTTGGTTCAAGGGGAGGGGAGGGGAGGGAAGGGGAAGGGAGGGTAGGGAAGGGCAGGGGGAGGAAGGGGGAGGGAGGGGAGGGGAGCTCCCCCCCCAATTTGGAGGGGAGGCTTTGGAGGGGAGGGGAGGGAAAATTTTAAAAATTTCCCCTCCCCTCCTCCTAACCAAATAAGGAGAGCTCCCTTCCCCTCCCTTCCCTCCATCCAAACACCCCCTAAGGAGGATAAAGATGAGCCAGAGACTTCCTCTTCTAAAGGAAAGAAGTGTGAGAATCTTAGTGATGATGAGGAGTATGAAGGTTCCCTTCTCCTAAGGGAAAAAAATTCTCAAAGTATGATGTTGACTTGTCAGACCAAAAACTAAAGTATCCTTCATTCAAGGATAGCAACAATTCAGAAAAATACCTTGATTGGGAAATAAAGATGGACTAAATCTTTATGACTCTTGAT